AAACTCTGGCATCAACTATGTTACAAAACTAACCAATGTGGATAGATAAATCACTTAGAATAAATAACATGTCCAGACAGTTTAATCTTTCAAGAAAAATATGATAATTTAAACTGGATAGCAAATGTATCATGTTCGTGATTACAATCAAGAGCTCTCAAGGACTGATAACTCTGTTCTTCTACTTGTGCTCTCATATTATAATCGAATTCTCCTTAAAGAGTCCTTAATGTGCGAAGAATGAATTTAAAAAATAATTATTTGAACAAAAACAGTAGTTCATGATAGAATAATGATGTCTCTATCGGTAACAATATCTAACAAGTAAATAAGGGTATTACAAAGATGATACTGGTAAGTATTGCTGAAGTTATTTTTAAAGCAACCTTCAAGCAAATATTTGGTTTATTTAAATTTTCATTTCTATGATACTACTTGCAAAAATCGAACTCTGATGATGAATACATAAAATACATTTCATTACTAGCTGATTTAACCCTTCTAGATAAAGAAAGAGAAATTTCTTTTTTCTTTTATTTTTTTGGCAAAGATAAAGTGAAACAAGTTAGTATGGAGAAATTAACATGAAACACTGTCCTATTTCTTTTTTCATATCTTTAAAAACGTTTGTCTTAAATTTGTTACCCGGAAAAAAAAACAGCTATTAATTGAAAAAAGCAAAATACTCTTCCCTCATAATTGTAAAGAATATCAATTTATTGAACAGACCTAAGTTAAGGATAGGCTCCAATACCTTGCAGTTGTGTATTTTCTAAAAACTAAGGGATATTTTCAGTAATTTATCAATATACATATATATATATATATATATATATATATATATGCATATACAAACACACACATGTGAAAGCTAATATAAAATTTGAAAATGAGAGTCAACTAGAAATAGAAAAGAACTTAAATAAAAGAAAACATAGTTGAAGAGGTTCCTTGGACATCTAAAGCCAATATAGGGAAAACATGAAAATGTAAAACAGCCACCTACACCTATAATTCGCTGATTAACATAAAATGGCAGTTTAAACATGCAAGAACTTATTACCTTTGGTGTTTCAATGCTGAAATGCTCCCCTACATTTGACTTGGGAAACTTACCTTCCATCAAATGCTTTGACTTTGCTTAAACTTTCATCAACTGGACAAGGAGATTATTACAGCTAATGTAAAAATTGCAGGATGAAAGCACATTCACATGATTTCTTTCACTGTTAAAGAGCATAGTATAAAGAAGGAAAATGGCGCCTCCAAGGCACAAGCTTGAAGGTGTCAAACCATTGGACCAAATAGAAGAGACCTGACTACACATTTCAAATAAAGAATCAATAATGAGAATTTCATTCGTATGTTCCATCGGTTCTGGGCCGTGGAGAAACTAAATCAAACATAGTACCGTAATAACTGTTTCTTTTTCTTTTTTACTTTTGATTTGTAGTTATCCAAACAAGATATACACTTTCAATTTCCTTTAAGAACAGCTTTCGTTCCTTCCTTTCATCTTCATTTCTTTTCTAAGTTTTACTTAACATAGTGTCAAAGTTATAACACAATTAAACAATAGAAAAACTGCAGGAGAGATTTGGAAATCAATCATATGACTTATGGTAAACTGTATTGTTTCTTAAAATTCCCTAGTCCGGAATCCATGGCAGGAGGTTATAACTATACTTCTCTGAAAGCCCAAGCTTTCCGTAAAAGCTCATGAACACAAATATACTGTAATTAGAGCAAACTTCTTTCAAGGGGGAAAGAAGAAAAAAGAAAGAAAAAACTGAAGCTCAATATATGGACATTTTTTTTCACCAAATTTGAGACCCAATGATCAGCAAAATGTTGATTTAATGTTTTGAGCAGAATAAGAGTGAGAATTCATTGGATACATGTAGATATGCCAGAAGAACCTCCAAATTAAAAATTAATGAACAAACTTTCTCTAGTTTCTCCTTTGCAAGGGAGCAAGTTCTCATAGATCAACTACATTACAAAACATTAATCCATATATTCATACTCAGAATTTCCATATCAATTTCTAATAAATTGCAACCAGTAGCATGTGGCAGGAACAAATATTTGTTCCATGATGTACCCCAATGTGAATGAAGCTGCTAATCCGTCATAACACTACATTTCTGATCACAGTGGCAATGGAAGTCCAGAAATCCTTCCCATGGACCTTCTGTGAGATGATAATTTTTGATTGAGTTCGCCTCCACGTACAGGCAGGTGTTTCCTAGTATTTGCCATGGGTCTTCTGTGAAAAAAGATTTTCCTAATTTTTGATGAAGTCAGGGAAGAGAATTCATTCTTAAACATCAAAGAGCTAACCCAGCTTGCTCAATTACATTAGAAGATGCCATATATCTTGTGCAAATAGAAGATCCACCAACACTTTTGATTTTATTAATCAATGAACTAACCTAACAGACTAACATACCAATAAGAATTAGGCTACAAAAAGTGACTGGTCCTTGTACTATTAACTTCCAAACAAATAAGCCCCTGCAGGTGCTTTTTTTTTTTTAGTCCAAAGACCCCCCTAAACTTTCAATCTGGTTCAAATCATCACTATTTAATGGAAACTCAGACCAATGTCAGTGTTGTGCTGCATGGCAGGCGATATGGCCATGTCACCCATGCCAAATTGGTCCTTGCCAATATGGCATCAACGTGGGTGTCATATTGGCAACCCAAAAACACAAAGAAACAGATTAAGTTACATCATCAACCTTTTCTTCCTGCGAATCTAAGGCTTAATGATGTTCGGAAAAGATGCAATTTTGCTTTTTCCTCCCTCCTGAAAAGTGAAAGCTCCCACAAAAGTGAAGCCTTTATTGGGGTTTTGGTTCTAAACAACATTGACACTAGTGACTGGTTTCACTAGTAACTAACTTCAAGAGTTTAGACCTCAAAAAGCTCTTTCCTATATGCTTGCATGATGTTCTCTTATAAGTAAAATACAATAGTAATTTATTTCTGCATTCTGCAATGAACTCGAGGGTTGAACTAGATTATATTACTAGATTCGTTTTATTGTATGTGGCCATCAAAGTGCAAACTCAGACAGTTTCATTTTCAGTTCTTTATACAATCTCTAGCAAGAGTGAGGAGCATTTGGTCCATTTTGAAACTTTGGTTTCATTTGACTCCTTCATGGAAGATAAATAATTCCAAGATCTAATAAGAAGGGAACGAAATAAAGATAAAAATTAGATCCAGTTCCTTTAAGACAAACTCCATCGGATTGAGTATGGTTGTATGTGATAGCATCTAATATAAAAGGAATATCAATGAACCCGAGTATTGTGATTGCTTAGGATATCCTTTTATAGCTTCTAGTTAGCTACAAGAATCTTTGAGAGGGACTCTTCTTGTGAATATAGGGTTCTTTGGTTGAGAGAAGTGCTTAGAATCTTTAGGAAAACAGTTTAATTGAAGCAAATTAACCATGGAAGGCGACAGTGTCTTCTGTCACCGTTAGAGCAAGACATGCTTTATTTAGGAGGATTCCTTTATCTATAGTACAAAGGGATCTCAATGCTATATTTCATTGAGTTGGCTTTTTTTTCCTTACTTTTCTTATTTTACTGTCCTCCTTTCTCTTTCCCTTTAAGATAGCTTATTCTCCCTTGTATTGTAACTTTTATCTCTTCTCCTAATAAATTTCTTCTTTCTATGGATAAAAGTAGACTTAATATTTCATAATGGAAAAAAGAACGTCATTGAACTAAGATCCTTAGTATTTTGAGCTTTTTTTCTTTGATTGTTCTTTGTGAATCCTTTTTAAATGAGTGGTACCCCTTGGTGCCCTTTCTATAAAGCTCTTATTTCATCTCAAATTTAATGGGAAAGAAGAGATAAAGAAGCTCATGGGAAAAGAAATGATTATTCAAGTTCCTTTTTCCCATTTCAAGGTATGCTGAATTTTGAAGCTTGGCAGAGCATACTGCACTCGATAAGGAAGGAAGAAAGTCTGTCAACCTATGAAATTGTCCAACTTAAGTGTAAATGCCTTCCCTTTTTTCCACAAATAGTATAATCTACTGATCATAGCAGGAAATGAAATCTGAGAAGAAAAAGTGAGCTCTCTCGCTAACTCGAGGAGTGTATTAGTAATCGTGTGTGCTTACCATACAAGATGATGAGAAATTCCATGCAGCTTATCTTCATTTTCTCATATGTTCCCTAAATGAAACTAAATTATTATCATAATGAATTCCACCAGCCAAATATATATACAAAAATACACAAGAAAACTTGGACTAAAATTATTTATATTCCAAATTTTCAGAGGAATACATGTGAAGGAAATTAGCATAAAAATCCCTTCCTTGATTAGGATAACTCATAGCAGACATAATTTCAGTTCAAAAACCCGCCAGACCAATAAGCTTGGAAAAGCAAAAAAGAAAGAATAAGGAATTCTTTCTCACCGGAAAACATCATCTGAGCTTCTCCTTGCCAGAGCTCTTCCTCGCAGCCTCCTTCACCTTCTCTATATATCCTTCAATTGGCGGCGTAAGCGTGGCCATAAACCTGTTAGCAGGGAACGGCGTCAAGTCCGGAACCAACGCGGCCTCCCTGAGTTTTTCCGGCAAAGCTTCAATGGCCTCCTTCTTCAGTCTAAGCAGCGTGGACTCGGCTGCCTGCCTAGCCCGATGCCTTCTCATGAGCACCCTGCTGTACTCCTTGGCCAGCCTCCTCCCATCCTCCACAGTTAACTCATACTTAGGAATCTTCTCAGCATCCACCAGACCCAATGATATCAAATCAAATCCAGGCGTTCCCATCGGCATGGGTTCGTCGGAAACCCCCATGGCCTGCCTACCGCCTTTCCTCAGAATATCAAGCTCCCGCTGCCGGTCCTTGCTGATTAGACCTAGCTTCTCGCGTTCTGCCTCCCTAACCCTTTCCTTGGAGGTAAGATGGCGGACAGGCGAAGGGGCATTGAGGCACTGATCGTAGAGCCGCTGCTTCTCATCGGGGATTCTTCCACCGGCGCCTTTGGCAGAAGAATCGGCGGCCGGACCGCCTTTCTTGGTGGTGACTTTGGAACGCTTGAGAGGCTGTCCCGCTTTCATCTTTCCCTTGCCCTTGGCTGTGCCGCTGATCCAGCATCGTTGAAGAAGCTGGTGATTCAGGGAATCCAGTAGAGTTTTTGGTTTCGCCGCTCGGATCATAGTTTTTTTTTTTTTTTTCTTTTTTTCCTTTCGTTGTTAGAATAACAAAATGAGAATCCAGCGAAGGAGAGGAGTTCGATTTGGAAGAGCTCAACAATGGAATGAAAATCCAGTGATCTACTGGTTTTTCGAAGACTGAGAACGAGGGTTTAGGGTTTGAGGAACCGGGCCCAGAAATCGCGTAAAATGAAAAGGCCCATATTCAAATATCACAATTCTTAATTATTTTACTAGCGAAGGGCTTGGGCTTTTTTATTATGATTGATTTTATAACGACCAAACCAAATTTTAATAGCCCAAAATACCCCCATACTGTTTTCTTACATGTTAGTATGATTGATTTCATGTGAATATGCATATAGAGAAAATTTAGCAAGGCATAGGGACTCGTCTTAAGACAAACAGAAAGAAAATAAGAAATTAGGGTATGGAAAATCTTTTAGAATATAAATTTTCCTTCAAAGGTGGAAAATTGAATTTCTTACATGTGTCTTAGGCCTCAACGACACCTTAGGAAGTTAAAAAGCACCTTCACGAAGTAAGAAAAATATTTGGGTTGAAAATTAGAAGAGAAATGGGAAATTAGAGTTAAGTGGGAGAAAATTCCTTGGGTGAGGTAGAAAAATAACTTTTTAAAGTAAAAACGCTTCCTAAGACCAATATTAGTGGAATTTGGGGCTGAAATTTTGGAAAATGATAGTTAATGTGAGAAAAGAAAGGTACAAGAAAGAAAAAATTTTGAGAAAAGAAAAGGTGGAGAGAAAAATGAAAAAACCAAATGGGAGAAAAAGTTTTCCTCCGAAAAACCCTAAATTGACTTTTTCGGGCAAAAATTTCTTCCTACGGCTAAAATACATGGAACTTGAAGCCTAGATTTAGTAGAATACTAGTTAAAACATGAGGGAAGAAGTACACTAAAAAAGAATTTTTGTTGAAGAAAATTTGGTAGAAAACAAAGGAAACCTGAGAGCACATGGGCAAACTTGTGGTTTTGAGCCTATGGACTTTGGGTGGGTCTTAGATGGGCCAAATAGGCTCTAATTTAGTCCAAATTTAGAAGGTAAGAGCTTAAAGCATAAGAAACATGTGAACCTCGAATCAAACGAAACTCTTCAGAATCAAGGATGATGTGGCAACTTGAAGTTAAAAGGTATAATGAAGTTTACGATTTTGAGCACTTTGGTGTTGTATGGGCCTTAGGTGGGCTAAATGTGTAACAGCCCTGGAAATTAAAAGGAGATGTATATATTTATTCTAAGTGCAGAAATAAAATAAAATAAATTATGATTAACATCCCTTACACAATAATCAAAACGTATAAACTTATGAAAGAATAAACTAACTAAAGAAAATACTATGAATGAATACTATAAGAAAACTAATAAATTCTTACGCTTCTACTCGCCATCTTCCTGCAGAACGGGCTCGGGAACCAATCCTCCTTATCTGAATAGTTAAATAAGAAATGAGCTACACTAACACAGTAAAGACATCACACTATCTCACTGTCACAAAAGTAAAGGTTGGTAGAAAACAAAAACGACCAATGAAGTATAATTTATAACAAACTCATTTATCAATAATAAAAACTTTTACTGTCCACTTATCTCAGTGAGATTCATGAAAACAACTTATGAGAAACAATAACATCATAAATATCATAAGATCATGCACACTTTGTAACATAACACATATCATGCTTTTGTATTTCAATCATCAAGCAGCAAATTTCCTCTTTTATCAGCCTACTAGTATCCATGGAGATCCATAGGGGGTCTCCGCTACACGTGAACTATTCACATTAATAACTTAATTCCAGGGCCGTCCCCATACCCCGTCTGGTATGTGCGCCAAAACCATAAACCTCAATACCTCGTCCGGTATGGGCGCAAAAACACATAAAGTCTCAATACCTCGTCCGATATGAGAGAACACGTTCCCGGTAGGGTTCCCTATGAACTCGGTCCGTCCACCATCTCTTAGGATATCTAGTTAGGCTGTCGACATTATCCATTTATCAATTCACATACATTTTTCTATTTTTCTTGATCTCAATTATCCAATCAAACATAAACACAAACTAATAATGGACACCAAACAAGGCAACACAACATCGGGTTCACAATAATTCAAAGCATAATAAATGAAACCGTGATTCATGCATATGAAACCATAGAATAAACACATCAGGCACCATACTGCATTCAAAATTGTAAAATAAATCAAACAACACCTGACCAAAAAATACATCAGATTCGAGCTCCATTAGCAACCTTAATTAATTATACATAACTATTAATTCATAACATACCATTTTATCATTTATTAAACTTTAATGCCGTAATAGAAAATAGGTGAGGGATCCTTACTTGTTTTGGAGTCTGAAATCGGGTTCTTACTGCGCCTACGGGCAATCCCTAGATTCTCTGAATTTTTCTCCGAAAACTGAAACACACTTCTGGTACCTGCACATGTCCCTAAAAAATCCCAAATCAGACCCAGGGCCCTTTCGACAAATTTCGAAATTCCGGCATGGCGGCTCCGCTGTGCTCCGGTGACGGCGCTGCCGCCCACGGCAGCGATCCACCTCGGGTTGGCTGTTTTTGGCCGGATTCGACCAAAATTGCATTGGTTTCTATGATAAAACACCCCTAGGGCCCTCGGTGGGCCAAAAATTTCCAGAAAACTGAGACTTACCGGCGGTGAAGCTCTCAGGTGCGGCGGCTCCTCTGGCACGAGTTGCGATTTGGTGTTTTGCTCTGGTTAACCTGTAGAGAAAAGGACGGTGGTCACAGTGGTATAAAAATTACATCGAACGAGAACCGGAAAGGGCCTCATCGGAGGCAAAAATTGAGGAAACCTGCGGCGGCGCTGCTGGACTTCGGCGGTGTTTTTCAGTCAATTGGTCAGTGGTTTGGCTCTGATTTGGCCACAGGGAAGTTCAGCATCGAAAAACGAGCTAAGGGGAGAAATTTTACCTCGTTTGGTGGTCGAAAAATCCTTCGGTGCGGCGGCGGGTGGCGGCGGCCGGTTCCTCCGATGGCTGGGTCGTCTTCTCCAGCGAGGGTTCTGGTGACTAGGGTTTGGGGTTGGGTGTGGATGCAATTATTTATAACCTTCTCCTTTTAATCTGAGCCGTCAACCATGATTTAATTGGGGCCGTCCGATCGCGATTAAATTGGATATAAA